CCTGCTTTTTAGAAGAAAAATCCATTTCTCTGCAGCCTCCTCATCTTGTCATGGCAAAAAGCTAGAATGGCATTTCATTTCTTTGCCACAAAAACCAGAGATGGGTTTTCCTCTGAGTTTTTATCAATGTCTTATCTGGCCCCCATTAAGATCTCATTTCCACCAAGGGGCAGCTCATTTTCAGAAGGAAAATGCCATCAGGCTGGCCTTCTGTTTTGCTGAGCATTTTAAATTTACTTGAAGGAGGGGGTCAGCCACTCCTAAATGGCCCCATTCCTCCAAGCAGAAGGTGGGTCTTGTCATCTGCCTGCATCTTGGAGTGTTGGCTGTGGGTACCTCCTCACCTCGTCTGACAATTGTCACTAAGGACTAAAAACACCTAAACACAATCCTAACCTTTTAGGTCTATATTCTCTCGGATGGTTATCAGAATTCTCTAGGAGGAGAAGTGGAGGTTATATGAAGAAAAATTATCTAACAAAATACAGGGAAAACCTGTTGCCAGATAACTGAAGTCCTCAAAACCTGCCTGGTTCCAGAAAGCTCCCAAGAACTTAGCTGAAAGTCAAAATGAGAAACAGATTCTATTTCCACAGCCATTTTTAAAGGTGTCCTTATAATAGTGTTGGAAATGAGACCTCTCTCAACCAAACATTAACCTTTTCCTCATTCAGTCACTGGTAACATACCAAGATATCAACAATTAGGAGGTAGAAAGCAAAGTATTAAGGGTATTTTTTGTCCAGAGATCAGCCAAATCGAAAAAATCTACACTACCCAGTTTTAGCAAGGGTGTGGAGGAAGAGGAGAATAACTTGATCATGTACGGAGGGCTATTTGATATTGGAAACAATCATCTTTGGGCCAGCAAATTTGGTTTCTTTGAGTTTCCCATAGAAATTGCACAAGAGGGACCGGTCTGTGGTCAAGGACGGCAGCTCTAACGGTTAATAGTGAAAAGGTGGGGAGAAACGTCCGGTAAGAGGAAGCTGCTTGAATACACGATGGACTGCCACCCAATGGGAGTGCGCAGCTATGACAGATACGAATGCCATGTGGGAAAGAAAGGGTCAGCCAAGGGTCTTAACAAAGGAAAAAATGGACAGGTAAATCTGTGGAAATATACCCCAAACTGTTTGCAGTGTCCTTTCCAGTGAGGGTCCTCCCAATGGAGAATTTGATATAATGCTTGGATTTTAATTATCTGGTTTGAAAATGATCACTTAATTCTGGGGCGCCTGGGTGGTGCAGTCGGTTAAGCATCTGCCTTCAGCTCAGGTCATGATCGCGGGGTCCTGGGATCGAGCCCCGCGTCGGGCTCCCTGCTCAGTGGGGAGCCTGCTTCTCCCTCTGCCTCTCCCCCTGCTCATGCTCTCTCTCTCTGTCAAATAAATAAATAAAATCTTAAAAAAAAAAGATCATGTAATTCTTCTGAAATCAGGTAGTATTAAAAAAAAAAAAAAAAGGCATTGGGAGCCTGGGTGGCTCAGTCGGTTAGGCGACTGCCTTCGGCTCAGGTCATGATCCCCGGGTCTTGGGATCAAGTCCCACATCGGGCTCCCTGCTCTGCGGGGAGCCTGCTTCTCCCTCTCCCCCTCCCCCTGCTGGTGTTCCCTCTCTCGCTGTGTCTCTCTCTGTCAAATAAATAAATAAAATCTTTAAAAAAAAAAAAAAGGCATTTCAGCTCTCTACCTAGTTTTCACAGAGCCTAAAAGATAAATGACAAGGACATTTGAGCAGCAGGCCTGAGCACCATGCTGTCATGTTGGGGAATGTGTCTGAGGTGGACTTTAGAATCTACTAGCGCTTCTAAGCATTAATCCCAAGGACTTTGGATGGACTCTCCCGACACTTGGGAGGAGAAAGCAACTCCCTTCTTCAGAGGGACGTGAAGATTACAGTTACAACAGCCAGATCTGGTCTCTCACTCCCCGAAGCTTGCTGATGGTGGTGGCCCCGGCCTTTCCTAATGGCCGGCCATTCTAATCCCATCCATCCCTTCAAAGGACAGGGTTCCACTGTCATCCACCCTCCTTTCTGCTCCAGTGAGACTTCACCTAAGAAGACGAGCTTAGAAGGTGAAAGGTGGGCATCCTGAGTTCCACTGCCCTTATTCCACTTTGGGGGTGAATGGTCAGCCAGGCAGAACCCGGACACCCGGAAGGTGCCCGGCGGCTCACCTGCGAGGCTGCTATCACCAGACTCCCACGGCTCACCGTGATCCCGACCCAATGGTGGGACAGGAGGGATGCAACTCTAGTCTCCACTACAGCAGACCCGCTGAGGCTTATTCTGTCTTGGCCACATGTCCTTCTGTAGATTTAGATCGATGACTGTGCTTCCATGGAATGAACTGAAATTGTGATGCTGGACAGGAAGGGTGGGTTTGATTAAGGATTCCCTATTCCTATCTCAACAATTTAGTCCACTGGCCTCTCTGTTGTGAGAGGCTGATAAAGCTATCCAGGCCATCAACATTACCTAGTTCCTCTGTCCTTTAAGACAATGGTAACTCCTGATGAGGCTATGGTTGAATTTTTCAAAAGTGAAACAGCAGTGTCTCTGGGCTCCTGCCAACAGTCAGCTGATAGGCTGGCTACCATTTTTATTCTCCTTGCTGGGAACTGCTCTGCTGCTGCTCCTTTCCCAAACCACGACCCTCCTGTCATCAGGGGCCGTTCGTCCACTGCCAGAAAGGCATCTGGAGACCTGACACTCAGCGTTCCTTTCCTGAGACCTTGAGGAACAGTGGACTCTGATTAGGATTCTCTGCACCAGCTGGTGACAGTGGGAGGAAAGGGGGCTATGAAGCCATGTAAAGCTCCGACACAGAAAACTCCATTTCTTTCTCCCCTAAACTTGACATGGGGGGATGTCTGAGCTGCAATGGCAAGATTTACACACAAAATTAGTCATTGTAATTATGAAAAGGGTTGGTGGTTTGGGACGTTTTTTCAGAGCCCACATGTCGCTTCAAGTAGATTGGTTGTGTCAGGACCAAAGAATGTGGTGTGCCCCACGAACGGCCTGTGTGTGGTGCTTTCGTGCCCACCCTGGCTGCTCGCACTTGGGTGGGAGGGTGAAAATGAATTTTTAAGGACAACGGAGGGAAATCTGAACTAAAGTCCTGGTACTTTGATGGAAGACCCATTTGAGACTGAAATTAGTTCAAGGGCCATTCTTTTGTGAGATCATCCTTAAAAAGAAAGACCATGTCCTGAACTGATCTCAACCTGCGTTAATATATCACCAAAAATGAAATTTCTCTAAGAAAGCTGTCTCAGAATCAAGGCTCACCTATACATTAAGGTATTTCTAACAAGCGTTCAAAACCAGGATCTTCCCTAAAAGGATGGTGAGAGTTCTTACTTTTGACAGACTCCAAATTTATCTCTGATTTGGATTAAAACAAAATTATTTTGGGGGTGGGGAGGTGTGAGCAAAAGATGTGTAACACGCTCCTTAGAAGCTACTGAAACAGCATATATTCCCCATCAACTTGCTTCTCATGTTCACTAACTCAATAGAACAGTATCAGTGACAACACGAGGACTACGTTTCTACTCTAAACGAACAAGGAAATTACAGATCATACACATCTGGGAAAGTCATTAAGAAGAGCATCTGCTTTCTGTGTTAAGCAGAAGAATGTGGTTTTAAGAAAAAAATAAATTATAATCTCTGTTTCACTGAATAAGACGATTGGTGCGCTGGAGTCAAAAGCAACCAACTCCCTTGAGTTTGTGGGCACCTGGCCAACTCCGTTACTGGGAACGGCCCCTCTCCTGAGGCCCCGGGTCCAGGGCAGGTAAATGGAGGCACTCAGGCAGATGGCTGGGTCCTGCCGGTTCAGAGAGAGATGGCAATGTTAAGTTGCTTTCAGGCACCGAGGAAACATGAGTATTTCTCCTTTGGCTCTTGAGATTCCATCTAGCCTTATGTGGTTCTTGGCACTTGATCTGCAAGTGAGCGCTGTTTTTTAACGTCATGATACCCAACCTGTTATAGTGGCAAGAATAATATGCTTGGTGCCAAAGTGCTGGAGCTCAGTCCTGATTCCCCTCTATCAGCGGTGAGACCTTATTTAGCCAAGTCCCTTACAGATCTCAGAGCTGAGGCTTTCTCACCTGTGCAAATGGGGTAGATCACCCTTCCTGTCTTTTGTGATTTGGCTACCATATGAAAATCTGTAACAAAGTACTTTCTAGACCGAGAACTGATATGTAAAGGGAAGGCATTCATGGTTTTAGGGCTTTGGTGGTAAGACATGAGAAGATGGCTAGCAGAGGCTTCATTCTGATCCTCTCCCCACTTCTGCAAGAATCCAACGGCTTCAGTAAATTATGCTTAGCCAGGTCTTCACTGCTTTCCTCCCCATCTTTTTCACGTATCCACTGCAGTTTTCTAGATTCACAGACACAGAACCTGAACTCAGGTTCATCACTGAGCGTCTGCTGAGTACCTGCTATGAATTTGGTATCACTCTGCAGAGCAAAAGAGATGGGAAAAGAGGAGGCTATTGCCCAAGAAAAGCTTACAAAGGACAGAGGCCTGAGGAGAAGGGGGCAGAGAATGCAGCCTGGAAATAGGATGCGGTGTGGGTCATGGGTACTTAGGGACCGTTTGCAGCAAATGAGCCTCACGCTACCCCAAATACTCTCAGAAATCAAAAACTATGAAGAAATGGCGAACAGAACAAAGTCGGGGAGAGAGCACCAGACAGAAAGGGAGATTCGGGCTCCATCTTCAGGTTCCACCTTCTTGAGCCAACGTCCCCTTCTCTCTGGGCTGTGGTTCCCACACTGGCCACGGAAGGCCCTTCCTAGCTCTCCCATGCTGATCCCCCGACTCCCCGGACAGAGCAGGCTGCAAGCACGGGGACAACGCTGTCCTCATCCAAGCCTCACAGTCTCTGAGAGCTGGGTCACCACATGTCAAACCTGGTGAACAGACCACACGCGGACACACGTCCGTCTGGTGGCAGGAGGGCCGGGAATTACCTGGTGTGGCTGTTGGAGGACAGGCTCTCCCAGGGCTGCACGCTGCAGCCGGCCACGGCAAAGGCACCCCCGCAGCTGCCGTCCAGCTTCATGAGCAGGGCCTTGGCCGCGTTCTCAGCTGTCTTCCGGCAGTCGTGAGCGCGCTTGAGCATCTGAGTGATGTTTTCATCCCCTGAGTGGTCTCCTACGTTGCAAGAGGCCAAAGGATTAATCAACACAGTTCTACAGGAGACAAGCCTGGGAGCGTGGTCAGATCATCGGTTCTTCGTTACTCAGGGCAGAGGTGGCCCGGTGGGGAGAGAAACTAGCAGTGGATGGCCAATGAAGAGACTCATGTGCGGGGCTGGGCGCCGTCACTTAGAGACTATATGGAGCAAAGCATGTCTCTGCTCTGGGCTCTACTGACCCTATCGATGAAGGGCTGGCAGGGAGATCTCTGAGGTCTGTTTCCAGCTCTAACATGCTATGATTTTCTAATTATCCAGGCTCCTGACTTCACCCACTCAGTTGCAATCTACCACTTGGCCATTCTTTCCTGCGGTGGCACTTTCTCATGAACGAGGACCAAACTGTGCCCTGCACACATCCAGAGCTTTGCTTAGAGCTTTGGGTAGGCAAGAGAAACACACCGGATAGTTAAAATGAGAACTTGAGATCGGCAGTGTCTTTTCTGTAGCAGTGCTATCCCTGACTTTCCTGTCTCGCTGGGACACTGTCAGTGGTGAGCCCCGATGCCTCCAGAAATCAGGTACCTGGGCTGGAGCGAGACCTCAGGAGTGGCTGGCACCCACGCAAAGCCAGACGGCGACTTCCCGGTCGAAAATGTTCACGTTCTTGTTGTGTTTTAAAAACCATAGTGGCCCAACAAGTCACCAGCTTGCTACCTCTTCAGCCTACATCCCTAGTCTTCCAGATGCTTTCAAATGGAACCATGTGCCGAAGCCTAAGACACCAAAATGGTAAATGCAGAACCAGCTGACATGAATAGGTGTGGGGGTCATACACTCCGGGTCCTCCCATCCTCCGAGCCCACTGCTGAGGCCCTAAGACACTCCTCCAGCTTCCCACGGCACAGTTTGAAAACCACTGGTTTAAGTCATCTAGAATGAGTGTAACGAATGCCTGCGCCATCAACAAGAAACAGAAAAAACCACTGGGGCTGGTACTGGGGGTAACATCATCAACCAGTACTTGCTCACCAGAATGGCAGGTCCACTGCTGCCGTCAGCGGAATGGAAGGGAGACTTAACAGGGAGCTGCTCCAGGTAAGCCAGCTCACAGCTTTACGGAGAGTGGGGAAGAAGTGTGGGGGCCTCCGTCCTGCAGGCTGAGCTTCCCTGGGCCCCCTGCGGCCATGTCTCTGACAGCTTTCATGTCTGCCTTTCTTCCTTCCTTTCTCCCTCCCTCCCTTCCTTCCATCAGTCCGTCCTTCCTTCCACAAACGAGGTATCTTACATCTGTCTCACCAACTGACAGCTCTCCGAATTCTGTGAAGCAGGCATGGTAATACTGACTGGCTCATTCTATAAATATATCATGAGCTACCCAGGATTATGTTAATGCAAAGCATTTCATTATTGATTTTAAGTATTTTAAATGCGGATTTATATAAGCCCTTCCAACTCCTACCAAGTAACTGCGCCAAGTAGAGACAAGCCTAATGAAAGGTGCCTTTCCAGGGCAGGATGGTTTAAAGACATTGTCTGATGATACAAACTGGAAATAAGAGGATTGATTTTTTCTCCCCTTTAATTGATCATTTTCCTTAATACATATATTAAAAAAAAAAAAACTTGACAGCAGACCAAGATCATTTTAGGATCTGTTTAATATGAGGTATAAAGTTTTATGGTTTAGTGGAAAGACCCTGAAAAATGAGGTTTCTAATGGAAATGCTGGCAGAGTTTCTACTTCTGGGGTGGGATGTTAATTCTATTTAAAAGAGAGAGAGAGAGAGAGAGAGGTCACCCATACAAATGGAGGCCTGCTCCCTTGTCTCATAACTTAGATGTGAAGCAGGAAATTAATGCCCAGGATACTTCCTTTCCTTCAGATTTGCTTCAGATTCCTGTCCAGGTCAAAACTGAAGGAGGAAACACCTGTGAGTGGTCAGTGCTCAAGCTCGACCACAGGGGAGGGGGAGGGGGAGGGGCAGGAGCTGGTGAGAACAGCGGGGTGGGGGTGGGGCTGCAGTCCGCAGGGGCCCTGATGCAGACATTCTTGGAAAGGTGCCTCCTGGAAGGGCGGCCCCCGTGGAGGCTCCCAGCCCTGGCCGAGAAGCCCATCCCTGGCAGATGGCCTGGTTCCCGTGGCCGGGGACTCCTGGTTTGTCCACCTGCCCAGGTTCGGCTCTGGAGTTAAACAGTTTTCTGTGTACCTGTCAGTGCTTCTCCAAAGAAGCCACTGTTCTAAAGCGGAGGCTGAGGGAGCATCCAGGCCACGGCACTGAGCTATGGCAACCTCTCTCCCTTGATCTCTCTTCCCTCCTAAGCACTATTTCTCCTGTGTCCTCCTCACGCTACTGTAAGGCCCAGAGCACAAGCACAGGCCAAGTTTTAGCAAATACTGCTAACCAGGATGACACAATTGTGTCTTTTTCAATTATATACCTCTTCCAGTTACTCAAAATTGAGGGGTCGTTGTAGGGGGCGGTGCAGATCTGAGGTACAGAGTGGGCCGACAGGACACATGCCCCCGGGGCGGGGGAGGCGAGTGGGTCAGCGGACCGCTCTGTTCCCCCACAGGGCTGGGCTCTGCGCTCCGGGGAGAGCCCTCTGCAGCGGACAGCAGGGTGAGAAACCACTTCCTCTGTGTTCACAAGGCACCTGGAGACCAGAGAGGGGGAGCCCATGCCTCAAAACCGCCCAAAAGAACAAACCTGAGGCCAGGCAGCCAAAAGAAGCAGCGAGTCTCCGCAAAGGCCACGTGGGCAGCAAAGGGACCCTTAACAATCAGCATCCCAGAGAGGCTGTGGGAAAGTCGGTCCCTTTCATCACAAACTGTGGGCTCCTGCTCCATCTGGTCCTACTGTTGGCCTGGGAGGGTATGTTTCCTAAGAGGGCTTGTTTGTTTTAACTTGTCCGTAATTCTGTTTCCACTCCAGTTCTTGCTGCATTCAACATAAACAATTTACTCATTCAGTCACGAGGAAGAAACGAAAAACACACTTGACAAGCGAATTTCGTGTCGTCGGGAGGTGTTCCAATGCCAACAGCGAAATGGGGGCACCACGGAGCAAGGGAGGCAGGGGACGAGAAGGCAGGGGGAGGGAGGGAGGGACTCGGGCCACACTCACCAGGGGAGGAGCCCACGCCGGCCGCCCGGAACTGCCCCAGGATGAGGCTCTGCTCGCTCTCGGCCAGTGCCAGGAGGAGTTCATAGGCTTCTATGCACTGCTCACTGGGACAGAAGCACAGCGTACCCTCAGTTCGGGCAGAGGACGGTGGGCCTCCTCAGGTCGGCACTGCGCCCCCGGGGAAGCAGCTCCAACCTCGCTGTCCATGCAAGTGAGGAAAGACCCGCAGATATTCCTGCATAAAGCCAAGGGCTTGGGGCTCTGCTATGTTGCCCACCCTCCCCCCTTTCTACTTAACTTAAACTTTTACTTTAAACTAGAATCTAGGGGCGCCTGGGTGGCTCAGTCAGTTAAGCATTCACCTCTTGATTTGGGCTCAGGGTGGTGAGATCGAGCCCCGTGTAGAGCCTGCTTGGGATTCTCTCTCTCCCTGTCCTTCTGCCACTCCCCACCCCACTCGCACCCAAGTGCGCGCTCTCGATCTCTCAAAACAAATACATACTTGAACTAGGATGTAGAAAAATACAAGGGAAGCAATGAAAGTGGGAGAGTTCAATTTAATGCCTCTTTAACAATCGGCTAAAAAGGAAAGGTAATATGCCTATAGTAGCCAGCCTCCAAGATGGCCCCCACTGATCCCATATGCTGGTATCTGCACCCTTGTGTTAGCTCCTTCTGCACTGTACCAGGATTGGTCTATGTGACTAAGAGGATATGGGATGTCACTTCTAAGACGAGGTTATTTAAAAGCATCGTGACTTCCATCTTGGTCACTCCCTCTCTCTCTCCCTTCACTTTTTCTCTTGGATCATCCTCTCTAGAGAAGGCCAGCTGCCACGTCTTAAAGACTCTCGAGCAGTCCCATGGAGAGACCCATGTGGTGAGGAACTAAGGCTTCCAGCCAACAGTGAGTGAAGGACTGAGGACTCCACCAAACAGCTGTGTGAATGAGCCTCCCTAGAAGCACATCAGCCAGCTCTGGTTAAGGTTTCAGATGACACAGCCCTGGCTGACCGCTTGAGCAGGACCGCCTAAGAGACTCCAAGCTGGAACTCAACCCAGAGAAGTCACTCCCAGCTTCCTGACCCTAGAAACTGTGCCACAAGAAATAGTTACACAATAATTGGTAGAAAGAAAGAAAGAAGGCCCCAGAAAGAAGACTATTTTGACCCAGACCTGTAGTAGCCCCTAGCCACATGTGGCTATTTAAAGTAAAAAGAATTTAAGTAAAATGAAAAATCCAGTTCCTCTGTTGCGATAGCCATATATCGTATGTTTAAGAGCCACATGTCGCTAGCAGTTACCACACTGGACAGCGCAGACAGGTAACAGGCCCATCATCACAGAAGGTTCTACCAGATGCTTGTAAGGTTGCCCTTTGAAACACGAAATCTCTGACAAATGTGAATTTCTAAGAGGAAGAAATCAGTCTCTCTTCTTCATGCCTGTCATCACTGGACACACCAGGTATAGGATCTAGGAGGGACCCCTTCCCCACTGCCACATGGGACCCACAGGGACCCACGTCGGCACAGGAAGTGGAATGTGTGCGTAATGCCTGAGTAGTCCGGGACAAGATGCCTGCAGTGCAGAAATTTCCCTGCCAAGCAAATAACCGATTAGCTTCTCTCAGCTAAGCAGGGGAAATGTTGCTTTACTCAACATTTAGTCAACAGACCATCTGTTTGTCTATTGTCTCACTTTCATCTTCTTTCACTAAGAGGTAAGAGAAAAGGATAAACCCCATCACTAGCCCCGGGTGTTGGCCGCTCCTCTTTTCATGGGTAGTCCATCTTTCAGGTTAGAGATCCTGCGACATTGCTTCATCCACACAGATCAAAGGCAGACTGCAGAACAGCCTGTTTCAAGAGTTATCACACGTGGATTATCTGCTTGCTTTGGTGTGTCTGTAAACTAGCATGATTGTGCTCTAGCTTTGGTCTCATGTGTTTTGTTCTTTTTTAAAAGATTTTATTTATTTTGACAGAGAGAGAGACAGCAAGAGAGGGAACACATGCAGGGGGAGCAGCAGGGAGAGGGAGAAGCAGGCTTCCCGCTGAGCAGGGAGCCTGATATGGGGCCAGATCCCAGGACCCTGGGATCATGACCTGAGCCGAAGGCAGACGCTTAACGACTGAGCCACCCAGGCGCCCCTCATGTGTTTTGTTTTTTTTAAGTAGGCTCCACGCCCAGCATAGATAGAGCCCAACATGGGGCTTGAACTCACGACCCTGAGATCAAGACCTGAGCTGAGGTCAAGAGTCGGATGCTTAACCGATTGAGCCACCCAGGCGCCCCTGGTCTCATAGGTTTTGGGGTTTGATTTTGTTTTGTGAAGAAACAAAGTTTCTTAAAGTTTCTTAAAACATATTGATCTTTTCGGAGGATGCTAAGAATAAGGTACAGTCACTACTCTGGGATCTTGGCAAATATGCCTAAGGGGTGCCACTAATAAAAGAAACCTCTGAAAACAGTAATGCATAGCTTTGTAGCTATGAAACAAATAGTAACTTAAAAACAGATAAATTCCAAAGCTGATGAGGCTGAAAAGAAGTGGAACATTCATATACCACTTGCTCATTGATGAATGAACTACAGTCATTTAAACTGGCTTGTTTTTATGGGGAAAAACTGGGAGCGTGCCTGAAGAGCCACAAAAATATTCATATACTTTGACCTATTAATTCCTGCTTTGGAGATTTTATTCCAAGGAAAATATTCAAAAGAATGAAGGTATTATCTGTATTACATTATTCACCATAAAATTATTTTATTAGGATATTAAAGTATTTTAATATCCTAAGTCTGCAAAAGTCTAAATGTCTTTTAGAGAACTGAGTAAACAAAACAACAAAATATAAACTTGATCCAGGGGATACAGCCATTCAAAATGCAGGCAGACCCTGAAGCAACATTACAAAACCACCATAAAGGGCGCCTGGGTGGCTCAGTCATTAAGCGTCTGCCTTCGGCTCAGGTCATGATCCCAGGGTCCTGGGATCGAGCCCCGCATCGGGCTCCCTGCTCC